TGGGTCAGTTTCACCACGGGCCGTTAATGGGCCAAGAGTTACAAAGGGCCTCATATGGGCCGAAAGAAGTCATGGGCCACACATGGGCCGGAAGTTAAAACGGGCTGGAATCATATTGGACGGTCTAGACGACACTACTGGGCCTAATTCGGAGAGTTCGTAACCGGCCCTGGGTTAACGGGCTGTAAATGGGATATGTGCGAACAGGCCGTTAATAGGATTTCCATGGGCCGGGCCGACACCTTTTGACCAAGTCAAACGGGCCGGCCTTTTCACAGGAATGGGCCTCTATTGGGCCGTGCCACGTGTCTCCATATCATAGGCGCGTTCGGTCCAATGAATGGATGACATCTGTCCCAACGGTGAGCCGACACATGTTTCCTCCAGCCAATGATGATTTTACACGTGGAAAATCTCCATTGGTCGGGGCTGTTAACAGGTTATCGGATCCAAAACCGGACCCGATAGCTTAATGGCGTTCCGTTACGGTGGATGCCACGTGTCGGTCACCCTTGACGAAAGCACTTCTGTGACGCGCGATTTATCGTCATGGAAGTGGACACTTCCGTGATGATAATTTTGGTAATGTCATGAAACACTTCTATGACATCACAGGTATGACTATCTTGGTTCTGTCATACAAACGTCATGGATGTACATGCATGACAAAAAACACGACCTACTGTGACAAACATGTATCATCACAGAAGTGTATTTTTTTGTAGTGTTAGGATTGGTTAGATGACTATGATGATGATGTGGTATCGAGTAGAAGTTGTATGATCGACGATGATGAGTTGGACTTGTTATTATGATACCAATGATGAGTTATTTATTATTATGACCGATGATGCATGATGCTAAGTTGTTATATGAGCATGATGAGTTATTATATATATCAGTAGGTGAAATGAACATGGAAACGATTCAAGTGGAGGCAGCATGTGGTGCACATCGAAAGTACTACTAATCCAAACTAGATCAAGTTTGGATTAGTACTGCTGTCGACATGCACCACATGTTGCCTCCACTTGAATCTACTCCACGTTCATTTCACCCACTGTTATATATAATAACTAATCACGGTCATAAAATCATATGATGAAAGTACTGTATATAAAACCACAACGTAAATAAGCTGTATTTTCAAAAATTCAGGAAAAGTTAGCAGCAGCGCTTTCCAAAAGAAACGCTGGTGCTACTTTCTATTATCTCTAGCGCTTTACCAGATAAAGCGCTACTGCTAACGTGGTATAGAAGTAGCGCTGGCATTCCAGCGCTACTGCTAACAGTTAGCTGTAGCGCCTTAGTGGTAGCGCTTGTATAAGCGCTACTGCTAGCTACAAAACAAGCGCTACTACTAGGGTTTTCCCTAGTAGTAAAGTATAGTGGATCAAAAACAGTTTTCGAGGGTAGAGTATTCAACCCAAATTTATTGATTCGACACAAGAAGAGCCAAAGAATGTTTGCAAGTACTAACAGTTCAGTTGTCAATGCAACCACACCTGGAGACTAAATATCTGCAACAAGAGATCAGTGGCACATGAGTATGAAAGTTTTGATAATAGTGGCAACAAAGGTAGTAGTAACGGTAACAATAACAGTAGCAGCTCTATAGTGATTGTAATGGTAGCAGCAACAGTAGTAACTTCACATAGACCAATATGTGAAAAAACTCATAGGAATTGGATCGGTGATGGATAATTATGTTGGATGGCATTTATCATGTAACAGTCTTAAGCCAGAGCGACACAGAACTAGTTCCAATTCATCAATATAATGTAGGCATGTATTCCATATATAGTCATACATGCTTATAATGAGAACTTGCATGACATCTTTTGTCCTATCATCCCGTGCCAGCGAGGTCCTATTGGAATCTAAGGGGTATTAAATCCTCCTTTTAATAGAGAAATGGAACAAAGCATTATCACTTGGGGTATGCGGTTCATAACATGTAATAGGTGTGTATAACTTGCAAGATCGGATCAAGAACACAAATATATTCATGAAAACATAAAGGGTTCGGATCTGAAATCATGACACTTGGGCCCTATTGTCAAGCATTAAGAATAGCAAAGTCATAGCAACATCAATTTCAGAACATAGTGGATACTAGGGATCAAGCCCTAACAAAACTAACTCAATTACATGATAAATTTCATCCAACCCACCACGGTCCAGCAGGCCTACAAGGGAATTACTCATTCTTGATGGTGAGCTTCATGAAATTGGCGATGAAGAAGGGTTGGTGATGACGATGGCAATGTATCCCCCTCTCCGGAGTCCCAAACGGACTCCGGATTTTGCCTCCCGATGAAGAACATGAGGTGGCGGCGGCTCCATATCGCAAAACACGATGAAGCTTCTTTTGTTATTTTTTTCTCGGGAAATAGGAATGTCTAGTGCTGAGATTACGGTCAGCGGAGCCTCGTGGGCCCAACAAGCTACCAGGGCGTGCCCAGGGGGTTGGGCGAGCCCTGATGCCTCGTGGGCAGCAGGTGGCCCCCCTCCAGTGGTTCTTCTCTCCAGTATTTTTTATTTATTCCATAAAAAATCTCTAAAAAGTTTCACCTAATTCCGAGATTTTTTTTCTGCACAAAAACAACACCATGGTAGTTCTGCTGAAAACAACATCAGTCCCGGTTAGTTTCATTCAAATCATTCAAATTAGAGTCTAAAACAAGAACAAAACTGTTTGGAAAAGTAGATATGACGACGATGTATCAAAATCCACCTCAGAGAGGTGGCCCCATCCGTGCCCATTGTCCACTCGTCATGGACCACCGTGGCAAAGCGTCTGGGTTCGGGGGATCAGTGGAGATCGGATGGCCTGGGTTGTGCTAGGCAAGCAGCTGTGGGAGGCCCTTGCGCAATAGATGGCGAGGAGGGTAGTCGGCTCACGGACGCTCCCGAGAGGTAGGTACTCTAGCATCTTTTATATAAGTAATGTTCTACATAACCCATGTACGTCTGGTTATACATATAAGAAACCCCTTTCATGTCTACATCTTAGACAAGTTACAATGAGATTGCACATGTATTTGACTACATATTGTGTGCTATCAACAGTTTCCAAACTAACTCACATGGTATGAATATTTTGCTGAGGATTGTAACTTACTGAGGTAGTCAGTTCTTCGTAATTATTGAGGTAATAAGTGCTTCATAATGATTGATTGTAGATCATAGAAATAAATAAAAACCCTAGAATAAGCATCGTGTTCAACAAAGGTAAATTCCGATGTATGCATTTTTTTCCAGTAAACCAGCTGTAGCTATAATCGTATCCTAAGTCGAAGGTGTGATATGCAATCTCAATACTTTTTTCATCGGAGTGCGGAACAAGTAGTTGTTTTGTCCATGTCAATACATTGAGTAAGTTATTCTCTTGGCCACTCATGGCCTTGGGAGCATGCTCTTGTGATTGCCTCTCTGACTCAAGCACTGCAAACTTAAAGATACATATACACCACTCATTGTGAGCATCTGCAAGGAAAGTTCATTCTGATAAGGAAAATTCATAGGGCAGGGTGCATAATCTGCCTTGAAGGACTTCTGCCGGAGTGTTTCAATGCAAGCATCTTGTTACACATTTGTACTCTAGAGTGTACGATGTTTCTAGAAAAATGCTACATAATAGTAGTTATAAATGATTAATTGGAAAGTTCTTTGTATTGAAGTTCACAAATATCAATCTCAACCAAAAAACAAGACAAAATGTCAATCTACAATTCAGGATCAGGTCCAATTTCTTCTAACGGTTAAACCAGACATATGATTTTCCTAGAAGAACTTTGAAAGAGATTCCTAGTTGCTGACATCATGCATGACATCATGACATGAACACCATGTCCAAACAAGAGATGTACGTCGCCTTTCATTAGTTACAAAACAATAGTATATGGAAGTAACACACACACACACACTGTTCACGCGCCAGGGTCTCTTTGATGACAGAGGATCTCAGTTTTTTGATATTTTTTTATATTTATTCTTTGTTGTGTACTGTTCATCACGCACAGGAATTCAGGACTGTTTGCCGTGTACTGTTACGGTTACTGTTTATGTGCCAGCTGGCCAGTTAGAGCCTGTCAGGGAGATTTTGGACCTGAATGACACACTTACTGCACTTTGAGGATCTAGATGACGATTTTCATAGTTCGAGGACCTACGTGACATCCCTGGAATAGTTCAAGGACCTAAAGTGCACTTCATTCTTATTTTTATGATATCGTTACATGCACATCATGTCCGAACTGGACAGCAAGCAACCTAGGTTTAGTAACCGCTTCCTCTCAGCTTCAATTGTTAATATAATTTTGTTGTATTTTAGATTTAGAGGAAACACTGAACGGTAATCCACTTTAATATATTCCTTATTGTCCTCTACACGGGAGATCTAGTTGGTGGTAAAAATACAGCTGTTTGCATATCATTTAAGATGTTTGCATATATTTTTTTGGACATGCACTAGTTTGATCCAAACAATGTGATACGATAAAATACAAGCTGCATTATAAGTTACTCTTCTGAACCACTACACGTTATTGTAGAACATTTTTGTAGATATTGTTTATTCTTGGTATTGGCGATCAGATTCAGCCGGTGTGTAGATCCAAGGCTGTGGAATGAGCACAGAGCGGAGCACCCAACTCAACGACGTGTACCACCGTCACATCATAAGACAAAACAACTACATTTAGTCCGTGTATGAGTGCACAGATTTGCCAGCTTTAATTTGAAACGAAGCAAAGAAAAACATATTAGCAAAGAAGCGGAGATGCATGGCCAGTCAATCTTGCGCACCTCTCAAATTATAGCGCACTAAAATGGATCGTATACGTTACACTAATAACTAAACAATGATCAGTTGGTCCGGTAAATCCTCCAAGTGTCTCCAAAGCAAGAGTAACACTATATAAACGGCGAAGATCCTGATTAGTTGCAGTCCATCACAAACATACAAAGTGGGAGAAGCAACGCACGCATACACACACATGGCCCCTCACGCTCTCTCTTGGGTTAGTGTGCCTCTGCTTGTCTTCTTGGCGTCGTCGGCATCCGTTGCGGCGGCGAGGGGGGCTCGGGCACCCAAAGCCGCCGACCCGGCCGAAGGGTTCACGGCGGTGAGCCTCCGCGAGAGCAACTTTGTGCTGCAGCGGCCGTTCAACGAGGCGAGCGGCACCCGGTACAGTTTCGACGGCACCGTGCGGAAGCTGTGGGTGCTCTCCTCAGACAAGCCCCATGCCCGCCAGAGCCACACCAGCCCAAGAACTGAGATCAGGGTGGCTGTAAGTTTATCATCACTACTCGTCATGTATTTATAGGTGTACTAATAAAATTTCGGTGATCTTACAGCTGGTTGCTTCTACCTGCAGGGATACGACTACAGCTCCGGCGTGTGGCAGTTCGAAGGCTACGGGTACGTCCCCTCCGGCACGACGGGGGTGTCCATCATGCAGGTGTTCGGCGCCGGCAAGACGGCCACCACGCTCATGCTGCACGTCTACGACGGCACGCTGCGGTACTACGACCGGCAGATCGTCGAGAACGCCATCTATGACAGGTGGTTCCGACTGAACGTGGTCCATGACGTTGAGGCGTCGACACTCACCGTATACATCGATGGGCAGCAGAGGCTGCACGTCCACGGCCGCGGGGGCAACTCGCACTACTTCAAGTTCGGCGTGTACGCGCAGAACCACGACTCCAGCTGCATGGAGTCTCGCTGGAAAGGAGTCAGAATCCTCAAGAAAGACACGTCACACTGATTCAGATTATACGTACGGCCGATTAATTATTCATTCTCTTGTATAGTATATGATACATGTATACTGTCGCCTTGTCGGCGTGTGTATGTACTATTTGTTTAATACTTGTTTTTTTTCGTAGATGATGGAACATAATTCTAGATGTGTTTTCTCACGTACAATACTTATTGTGATCATTCAGAATAGCTTTCACAAGTTGTGAACATTTTATATTTTCTATATAAAAATACATCAAAAAGAAAGAAAAAACTCATAAACCACATAACCGATATAAGTACACTGCCAGAACTGCGGCATCTTTACGGAGCATCAGTCTTTGTCGACTGTCGTAGGGGATCCCCTTCCCCTCTCGTTAGGGTTTTTGCTCCTCTCGGCAGCGACTGCGGTCTACCCCGTTGAGATCGGTCCTCCCCTGCTTCTTCGTCCAAGCCGGCGACTGCTGCGGGCTGGAGGCCCGTGGCAGAGGTCGGGGATCGGAATAGCTAGGGTCTATACCGCCCACGGACATCAACACCTCAGGCCAGAGATCTAATGGCGAAGGCAGCATCGAGTTCGGGCGGGACGTCCAACCTTGAAGCCATGATGGAAGAGTTGGGCCTGCAGGAGGACGATCCGCAGGATGTGATAGTCGAGGACAATGAGTTGCCGATGGAGGCCACTCGATGGATGGCAGTGGCTAGGGTTCACACAGAGAAGCCGTATAGCCAATATTGGTTCTTCAGGCAGATGAAGGTGGCGTGGGATCTGGCACAGGAAGTCAAGATAAGGCCGCTTGAGGACAACCTATACACTCTGCAATTTGGTTGTTTAGGCGATTGGGAACGGGTTATGGAGGAAGGACCTTGGAACTTCAAAGGGAAAGCGGTGGTTTTGGCACCGTATGATGGATTCACTAAACCATCATCGATAGAGCTGAACAAGATTGATATTTGGATACAAATACACGACTTCCCTGATGGGTTCTTTCCTAAGATAAAGGCCCTTTCAGCCACGGTAGGGGAATTCATCTACGTGGAGCCTAGATCGCAGGACTTTGAAGGGAACTTCGCCCGAGTGCGAGTCAGCATTGATGTCACCAAACCGCTGAAAACGCGGTGTCGCTGGTTGTGAAGAAGAAGGATGAAGTTCAGAAGGTAATTTTCAGATTGAAATATGAAAGACTTCCCGATTGGTGCGCGGTGTGCGGATACTTGGGTCACATGTTCAAGGAGTGCGGTGATGGGGTTCATCCCCCAAAGGCGCTGGTTTTCAAGGATCTGCGAGCATCTTGGTTTAGAGGCCCCGGCCGGGGTCCAGGCGAAGAAAACAGAGGAGGCCGTGGGAGGGGCCGGTCAGGAGGGAGAGGGCGTGGTCGCTCCCAAGCGAGCCATTCCCAGCCTCAGCACCCACACCAGGATAGAGGGGATGATGTGGCAATGGAGGATGCTGGAGGAAATAGGAAAAGAGGTGCAGTACCAGTGCTCGAGCCCAAGGGGGCGATAAAGACCTCCTCTTCGTCAGGACATGCAACGATGCCGCTGCTACTGCCACCAACTGAGATACCGGCTAGTCCCTCGTCGATACAGGAGCCGAAAAGGAACAAGCCGAGTCCATCAACCCAGGATAAACCTCCAGTCAAAAGTCTAGCTCCGAACAAAAACAATGATGCGCGTTTGGCGGGCCTCCAAGGGGGATCGTGCCTAGCGCAATGAGTCTACTATGCTGGAACTATCGCGGGGTTGGCAAACCCGCGACAGTTCGAGAGCTTCGTGATCTCACGAGGCAACTTGCCCCCTCTATCGTGTATTGTTGAAACCCAAATAGAGGGCTCTCGAGTAGAGAATATGGTAGGCTCATTAGGCTTTGAGAAAAGTTTTGCTGTAAACAGTAATGGTAGAAGTGGAGGACTAGGCATTCTCTGGAACGATGAAATAAAATTGGAGGTTGTTGGTTACTCTGAGTACCATATAGATGTCGTAGTTGATGCACTAGTGGATTTCCAGACAAGAATTACTTTTGTTTATGGAGAAGCACAAGTCAGCGAACGCTGCAAGACTTGGGACACTTTACGTGGTATTGTGGGAGCTAATAACATCCCATGGGTAGTCATGGGTGACTTCAACGAGATTCTCCATGCCCACGAACACGACGGAGTGGGAAACAGGAGCCAAGCTCAAATGGATGCTTTCCGTGACGCGCTGGACACGTGCGGCTTGACTGATATTGGTTACTCAGGAAGGGATTGGACTTTTGAAAGGAAGGTAGTTGGAGGTACATACACTAGAGTTCGCCTGGACAGAGCAGTGGCCAATCCTGCTTGGTGCATGGCGTTCCCGGATCACGTACCGATATACCTACAGTTCAGAAACATGCATGCATGGGACCGGGGCCCGCGCTGGTTTAAATACGAATTGTGTTGGGAAAGAGATTCCACTCTGCCATCGGTAGTGGAGGCAGCCTGGACACGGAATTTGTCAGATTCGGTTGTTGACGTACGGGACAAACTGAATGTTCTGTCAGGCGATTTGACTCATTGGGATCGCACTCATTTTGGCAACATACGGCAGCAGATACGACAGCTACAGATGCAACCACAGGAGCTGCGCGACACCCGAGGACGATCTGGTCCAACGGCTCTGGAGAGCAAAGTCACTGATCAGCTTGTTGAATTATTTCACCGTGAAGAAATTTTATGGCGGCAGAGAGCCAGAATTGAATGGTTAATGCACGGGGACAAAAACACTTATTTTTTCCATCTCCGTGCATCCCGACACAGGCGGAAAAATCAGATCAAAGCGCTCCAGCGGCATGATGGGCAGATTACAGAGGATACGGGTGAGATGGAAGCCTTAACCACCGACTTCTATAAACATTTGTATACGTCGGAAGGGGTACAAGGCATGGAGCAGGTTCTGGACACAGTACCTGTGAAGGTAACGGCCGATATGAATGCAATGTTAAATGCACCATACAGTGTACAGGAGGTGAAACCCGCCCTTTTTCAGATGTTCCCATCTAAGGCACCCGGCCCGGACGGGTTTCCAGCACATTTTTTTTAGCGCCATTGGGAGATTTGCGGTGAGGATGTCACAAAGGTGGTTCTGCGGATCGTTGATGGGACAGAATCAGCAGAATGCATTAATGAGACCATCCTGGCGCCACCTGTCAACCACCTTTTATTCGCTGATGACAACCTGCTGTTTTTCAAGGCGGCGAGTGGTGGAGCTAATGAGGTTGCTCAGGTCTTGGACATCTACTGTCGAGCTATAGGTCAGCGAATAAAATCACGACAAATCTTCAATTTATTTTAGCAAGGGTGTGCCCGAGAGCACAAGGAATGAGGTAAAAACCATCTTACATGTTCCCAATGAATCGTTAAATGAAAAATACCTAGGCATGCCTTCTGACATAGGCAGCAGCAAGAGTGGAGCCTTCAAATACTTAAAAGACAGATTATGGAATAAAGTCCAGGGTTGGATAGAGAGCACTATGTCTGCTGCAGGGAAGGAGGTTTTGGTGAAATCAGTAGCGCAAGCAGTTCCAGTATACTCCATGTCCTGTTTTAAGCCTCCGCGGGGTTTATGTGAACATTTGAATAAGCTGATCAGGAAGTTTTGGTGGGGTAGCAAGGAAGGAAAACGAAAGCCACATTAGGTTTCATGGAAGGATATGACTCAACCAAAAGGCATGGGGGGGCTCGGATTCAAGGACTTTGAGCTTTTCAACCTGGCAATGCTTGCTAGGCAGGCTTGGAGGACACTGCAACATCCTGATTGTTTGAGTGCATGCTTGCTCAAGAGCATATACTATCCCGAGGGGTCTTTTCTTAACGCTACCCTCGGCAACCATCCAAGTCAAGTGTGGCGAGCCATAATTGAAGGGAAAGACACGCTAAAACAGGAACTGATTCGGAGGATAGGCAATGGCAAGACCACAAGGGTATGGGAGGATAATTGGATACCCCGCAATGAAATGATGAGACCGTATGGATGCCTTGCTACAAACCCACCGCAATTTGTCTCTGACATGATAGACCCCACCTCAGCGACGTGGAACAGGCAGCAAGTATCGGCCACTTTCCTGCCAATGGACGCGAACCTGATTCTTGGGATCCCTTTATGCACAAGTAACGTTGAAGACTTCTGGGGTTGGAGCCATGAAAGGAGTGGCCTCTTTACAGTAAGGAGTGCATATCGTATGTTGGTGAGTACGAGGCAGCGGAGAGAGGATTGGCTCGAAGGAAGAGCAGGTGCATCGAGCACCGCTAAAGAAGAAGGGGCATGGAAATATCTATGGAGAGTTCAAGTCCCAGCGAAGGTCGAATGTTTCTGTGGAGGCTGTCGAAACAATCTTTACCAACAAATGACGTCAGAGTACACCGGAACATGGAGACCGACAGCTCGTGCGGCATGTGTGGGGCTCAGGATTCATGGAGACACTCCCTACTTGAATGCACGATGTCGAGGTGTACATGGGCATTGGTGGATGAGGAGTTGGCGCAGCAAATAGCACTCGTGTCTGAACCGAGCGCAAAACAGTGGCTTTTCACTCTAATGGAAGCGGTATCGGAAGAGCTTTTTGTCAAACTTTCTGTTACATTATGGGCCATTTGGGCTGCTAGACGCAAGGCTATCCACGAGGGGATCTTTCAGAGTCCACATGCCATACGAGGATTTATCGCAAGATATCTGACGGAGCTCAAACTAATCAGGAAACCAGCGACAGCGCAGACTGTAAGGCAGGCACGAACAAACAGCCAGCGCCCGAAGGCTCCTCCACAGGGGTACGCGAAGATACATGTTGATGCAGCATGCCGGATAGGAGCGGGAGGAGCCGCTGCAGCAGTTTGCAGAGATGCAGCTGGAGTCTTTCTTGAGAGCTCAGCATTAGTCGTTGGGGGAGTAGATGATCCTGTCATCTTGGAGACTATTGCATGCAGGGAAGCACTGGCTTTGGCGCAAGATCTTAACCTCTATGCGATTATATTGGCGTATGATGCAAAAGAAGTTGTGGGATCGATT